TAATTGCATTTTTTGTTTAACACATTCAAATTTTGGCATTTATTTATAGTCATGACTTATGAGCTTATCTATATAAAACTACTACTACGTAACTACAGTACTACCTGCACGGCACAGTCGGCACTAACAGCAGTACCAGTTAATTGGTGGTAAAAAGAAATGACTATTTATTTATTTTAACTTTTGGTCAATTTTTATTGGATACACAAAAATCAGATGGAACAGGAAAACAACATACGATATTTAACTTTCTGAAAAGAACCAAAGTGAACGAGAATCCAAATGTTCCATTAAGAAAGAAAGCCAAAACAGGGACCTCAGAATCATTTGTTTGTCTCAAATGTGGTTCAACTTTGGCAAGAGGTGGGGAATTTTATAGAAAAAGGCACTGGGAGTCTGTTCACAAAGCGGAACCTGCCTCTCATTCTAAAACATATATAGTACCAAGTAACCATGAAGATGCTGAAAAGCTAAAAATGGTGTCCAATTGTACCCCACAAGTAACAGAACGTGGAAACACAGACCCAAAAGTGCCATGTGAGACGTCCACAACCAATGTTGATGTTAGTGAGGTCGAAAGTGGAAGTGCAAAGCAAAATTGTAAAAAAACTCAGAAATCTTTGGAGGGATTTCTTTTAAATTATGACGAACAGAATCCAGATGATGAAGGAGATAGTCTTGCAAAGATGCAATGTGACATTTAAGTCAGATCAAGTTGATGCTATCATCCTTAAGTCTGAAGGAAAATGGTGCTATAGACCTGAAACTTGAAAGGACAGGTGATCAGGGAATAAAGGATGCTGACAACATGAAAGATATCAAGCATGATAATATTTTTATAGAAATTCTTGATGATGGTTGCAAGGTTACATGCAATGTGTGCAAAACATATATACTAATGCATGAAAATAGAAGGTTTGTTGCATTGATTGATTGATATGCATGCATCTAACATTCTATTACATTATATTTTGATACATTGAAGAATAATTTTTTTTATTTTGATACTGACTTTCCATAGTTGATCTCTGGGAAATGTCAGTTCAAACTTTTCTTTTATGCTTAAGGTCTTTGTTTGAGCATGATTCTTGGGGTAGTGGTATAAAATATGATGAGGCAAAAACAGAGTTACTTTTGGAAGGCTCCAACCAGGTTTGGTATCGTTTTAAACAGTCACTTAGAGAACATGTCAACTGCAGTTCAAAACGAAGTGGTGGTCAAATGCATCTCAAAGCAAAACAATATGCTATCTCTGTGAAGCAAAAAGAAGCACAGCGCATGAAAACAAATGTAAATGTTGTCGCTGCTGCCCTGGAAACATGCAAAATGAAATCTGCTGCACTATTGTTTGAAGCATTGTTGGGTCTCGTTTCATTTTGTGGTGCCAATATTGGTAGTATAGGACATGGTCGGTGAGTCAAGATTTTCTTTTAGCTTCATAAAGAAAATTTGAATTGCACGATATTTTTCTGTAAACTATTATTCAGGTTCTCTCTTGCAAGAGTCGTATTTAAATATCTTTTACAGCAATCAATTCCCTCAGATTATAAAGGCAGCCTACACCTATGTCTTGACACAGACAGCCACACATTCAAGAGAAAAACTTCCCTGTACTGGACTACGCCCTCATTTCTCCGTTGCTATCGATAAATCGACTCCTCATCACGATACCAACCATGCAATCCTAATCATCATTCCAGTCAATAGAAAACGTATAGCAGTTCCAATTAACGCTCCATTAGTGTATAAAGTGAATGATGACAGCATAACAGGAGGAGTGGGAGCCGACTTGGCTCGGCAGGTGATCAACACTGTCAAAGAAGATCTTGAAATGGACAATGACGACTTGTCATATGTTCGAGGTGAGTATGTATATATTACTTCTTCAAGGTTCCAGTTATTTCATTGTTAACCACAATTTAATATTACTTCAAATTAGCTGTTCATAGTGATGGACAATACTAGGCAGAGACGTTTCAAGCTGAATTATTGCAACACATCAAAGCAGACACATTTTTCCTACTTCCATGGGATGTTGCACATTGGATAGATCGTGTCATGGAGAGGCTCCGAAGAATTATCAAACGATCGAATTAATTTAAAAGAATTATCAAACGATCGAATTAATTCCACACGATGTTTAGCCATGAGAAAGGGGCACACTGAATACTTCGGTCTCGCGAAGCAGTTAGGGATGAAATCAAAGGAGATAAGTACGTTTGCGACAACTCGGTTTTTTTCTTCAGCTTTTGAACAGTGGGAAAAAATCTTGGAGTCGTATCCATCTCTAATCGAAGCTTTCCAAACTTTTCGAGGAAATGCAGACAATGATTGCGAGGAAATGAAATATCAGGTAAAATTCAATTTTATCCCTGTTTGGCCTCGGCGTATTTGCAAGCTAGCGTAAACATAACTGTTATTGGAAACTCTATTATGTAGATTTGTGGACAGGACTTTATCATCAATTTGCTTGGAATTAGTGACATGCTTTTTCCCGTGGTGGCATTGATGATTGATTGCCAAGCAATAGATTTGTTACCGTGGAAAATATCTGTATGGTTCCCAAAAGTCGTTGCACATTTAAATAAAATGAAAGATAACTTAGAAGCTTTTTGCAGTTGAAAAGATACCTTGTTGGAAAATCTGTTTCCCAGGCAAGTTTTTTTATAATTTATAGAATTTGTCTTCGATTCTGTCGACGATGTTTACCATAAACCTGAGGTTATAAGTTTAATGCAGGGACTTTTACACCTACTTATTATATTTTTTACACATTTTTAGATTACAACCACATTGGGATGACCTGGTTTATGAAAATAATGGTAATGGCATGTTTAAGGGTGTCAGTTTGCTTGAAGGATGGATTACTGAGGAAACTGCAGAAGTTATCGAAAATGGTAAAAAGAAAAAAACCTACACCTGGACAGCACGGTCCCCTGATGATTGCTTACAAGATATGGTGAAGTTCATCACCGTACTGATAGCCGATCTTTCAGAAAAGTATGAAGCGGTTGTGCCATCCGAAGTTAAAGAGATGTCTATTTTTGACATTGAAAAAGCTGTTATCAAGTTGGCAGAATATTCGGTTGCAAATGACTGTTTGGAAGTGTCGCGTGAGAGCGAGTCGCGTGGGAGACATTCGGTTGCTCAGAATTCAAAAGTTTTTTCAAGTGCGTTTGCGATCTTCCCCACGTTCAAACGTCTGATGAAAGAGCAACCTGAACTTAACCTTCTCCCACATGACCATGAACTAATATTCCGAAAGTACAAGGCTGTTTTGCAAGAAATAATTTGGGGCTCAAAGTACAGCATTTTGAAACATCTTTTCAGAGGGGCTTCAGATTCCTTGATTAGCAAGCTGGAAAGCGCCCGTGTGGCAAAGTTGCTTCCGATTGATGATAAATTTTCTCTCAAGCAAAAATTATTGATCACACTTTCGTCAGGCAGCACCTACGAGGCTACCATTAGTGAAACGTTTTTATACTCCGACGTTTACACAAATTCCATTTTGTATAATGATATTGGCCAAGAAATGTGCATTGCAATGGATGTTGCACTTGGTGCCTCGGGGTGTGCAGCGGTAGTTGAAGGTTTTTACAGCCTCGTAAACACCCACAAAAAAATGGTGGTCAGTCAAATACATCATTAGTGCAGAGTTCCATCGTTGATTGGGCATTACCTCATCCAATTGTGGATAAAATTACCTGCCTTTATATGAATGGTGATTCAAGTCGTGGCTTGAAAAAGCATTGTGAAACACAATTCTTTGATATACGTGGAAGAGCTTCATTAAAGTATGGTGTGAGCAAAGTTGTGGACATACTAGCAAAGGAACCTTCACGATGTCCCCATTTGAACTCTTAAAGTTATTCATATAAATAGGTATAGGCTGTATAGCCCACTAACATTTATAGTCACAAAAACCTTGTTTTGGTTGTATATTTATAATAAAGTGAAATAACCGTGATGACTGAAAAAAAGGAAATCACTGCAAGTCTGCAATGACTGTAGTTGTATTCTTCTACCTAGTCTTCTACATAATGTTGTAAAGTCGTAAACAACATTAACTTGAACATATATACCATCCTGTAAAAGTAAAAGGTTCACCCAACTTGCAACTGCCAGGTGCACCCTTAGGAATCTAGCTAACTGAAACACTGACATCAGGTGCGCTATATTGCGAATGCGAATTTCCCCTCGGGTGTGCTCTTGCCACGTTCTGCAAACTGGGTAGCAGCAATGTTAGTAGTGTAAACAGCAACATATCAGAGCAGTCAGAGGACTCAGAGCAGACTGGGACTTCCTTAAGCATGTTATTAGATAACCTAATGTCCAGAATGGAGAGAGAATTGGAAAGACTCTCGCAAGTGGTGGAAGTGTCTTTTTCCGAGGAAAGTAGGAACGTAATCTCATTCTTGCCAAGCACTGGTGGAAGACCCGCGTTTAACATTACTAAAACTCAGATTGAATTACTACGAGAGACTGGGATGAACTGGAAAGCTGTGGCAGGTTTCCTTGGTGTGTCGGAGAGAACTCTTCACAGAAGAAGAATCGAGTATGGCATTGAGTCTACTTTTTCTGAAATAACGAACCATGAGTTGGACCAGTTGATTAGAGAAATTTTGCTGTTAACTCCTTACAGTGGTGAATGTTATGTTAAAGGGAGCCTGAAAGGAAGGGGTGTGAATGTTCAAAGGTCAAGGATACAAGAAAGTCTTCAAAGGATTGATGGAATTGGAAGAGGAATGCGCAGAAGATATGCAATTTGTCGTAGAGTATATAGTGTTCCACATGCTAACTCATTGTGGCATATAGACTCTAACCACAAGCTAATATCATGGCGATTCGTAATACATGGGTGTATAGATGGCTTCAGTCGAACAGTGATATACTTAACATTCTGCACAAATAACAGAGCAGAAACTGTCTTAAATTTGTTTGAAAGAGGAGTTCAACAGTTTGGTCTGCCCTCTCGAGTGAGAGGTGATCGTGGAGTAGAAAATGTAGATGTGGCAAGATTCATGATTGCCAACGGAGGGTCAGACAGAGGAAGCTTTATTGCTGGACGTAGTGTCCACAACCAACGAATAGAAAGGTTGTGGGCAGAAGTTAACAGAGTACTGTCTTCCCCATACAAAGATATTTACCAGTTTCTTAAAGAAAGAACGTTGCTTGATTCTCTTAATGAAGTGCATTTATTTGCCCTCCACTTTGTTTATCTTCCACGAACAAATGCATCCTTAACAGAGTTTGCTTGTCAGTGGAATCACCATGGATTGCGAACAATGAATCACCAAACGCCATTAACGTTATGGCAAACAGATATGATAAACCTTTCTGAAGAATCACCTCTTGTTAACTTTGAGGAATATGGAATTGATTATGATGGTCCTGTACCTGATATTGTTACTGATAATAAAATTGTAGTACCTAATTCAGAGGTAGTTCTTACAGAAGAAGAACTCCTTCATTTGGAAAGTACAGTAAATCCGCTTGACAATGATGGGAATAATGGAATTGACTACTTCTTGAGGGTACTTGATATTGTTAATGGGTTCACAACATCAAGATGATCAAGTTGTAGTGTTTAAAATGTACGATGTACAACATACAATGTAAGTGTGAACAGTGGACATAGTTCACAGATTTAATTCACCTTAATTATGTAATTATTTTATGGATATAACGAAAGACAACATTTACTAATTTAAACTATTTAAATGATGCCAACAGCAAATATTAATATATATTACATGAATAATAACAGGATGCAATGTGCATAAAAACCATAGAATCCATAGCTTTCTGAATATAATATATAACAAGTTGCATAAAAACCATACTTTTTAACATTGAATGTCAATTATGTCTTCTCTAAAACATGGTCAGAAGTTTGATAATTAAACGATATCAAAGGACCATGCTTGTTCCTCTCTCATAATGTTAGCAAATTCTTTAGCCATATCCGTGTAGGACTCATAGGTTGTGGGAAGTTCTAATAGGGGACCACAGGTGTGTACCACTGGATGACGTGCTTTTCCACTAAGATTGTTGAAGGTTATTTCAATTTCTGAGAAACAGATGACATCACTTCCGGTCACAAAGTGTAACAATCTTTCTAGTTTTCTTCCTTCTAATGATTTAATGTACCTTTTCAGGTGGTTAAGAGTTTGTATCTCTACATCATTTGATGGGCTGCTTTTGAACAATTTTATGACCTTCTTTGCTGTCGGATTCCTACTTTCATAGAATTCAGATAGTGCATCAGGAGTTTGGAAAGCAGGATCAGTTTGGAGCTCGTGGAGTATTGTAGTCCAGCAGTTCACAATATATCTAGGCTTTTGCACCAGTTCTTGATGTGCCAACTCATAAATAATTGATTCGATGTTTTCTTTTGTTGGCCTTTTGCAGCATTTCCACATTGTCAGAAAATCTATCACGTCTTCATCTGCTGGGTTAAAATTTTCTTCAAGGCACTTCGTGAGCACTTCCCAGGTCATCAAAAGCAACATATGAGTGGAATGATGTCATCAAAAAGTACTTGCTTAAACACTCTTCGCCGAATAAGCATGTACACACAATTAATTTCGACAGCTTCAATGGAAGTAGTTATGAATTCTGTACCCATAAACTATGATTCTAGCAATCGCTTCCCATTGTGATTTTTGGAGATTGTGTCTTATAAAAGGGGTCTTCTCACTGCTCCCTGCAGAATATGCTGTGAAAAATTCTTGCCAGAAATGTGTTAAGACATCCATCATAACACCTTTTCCTTGGCCTTTTTCTTCATTTCCATTTGCATTTATTACGGTTGCAAGAACTACAAAGTCCAGTATATATGGGCAGCTAAAAATGTCAATAAGATCAGCACGAATAGTGGTCCTGTGTATCATTACTGACTTAAATTCTTCATTTTGATTCCTGTGCTGTTCAACTAAGGATAGAAGGTAAATTGCGTTTTAGCATGTAGGCTGTAGCATATCTAATGAACATAGAACCTATTTTATATTTTAGCTCTATTTATATATATTACCAGGTGGCAATTGAGCTGGTGGTTCTAACTCATTTTCCAGACCCAAAGTGGGCTGCCATTCATCCACAACTACAGTTAAAAAAATAATGACATTTTACTCTTGGCCTCAACCCAATTCAGTTGGTTAAACAGATATATGGCACTCATTTACTCAACCATTCAAGTTACAAAAATAATATTTGTTCATACCAACTGGCATTGGTACACTTTGTGTTCTTTGTTGTTGTTCTTCATGGTCATCCAGAACTATAAGGAAGTAGATTTGTTTCAATTCCAATTTGTAAAATCCACACAATATGTACTTACATATTGAAATACCTTGCACTAATTGATTGTCAAATGTTGGTAATTGCTGTTGGTTCTTTAAAAGTAAAATGCAAATGAATTGAAAGAGATGCACTCTGACTAGAACAATTACATATATTAGTCTGGACCATCATATTGTTACTATTATCTAAGATTTATAATCAGTGAGGTATAAAACAATAAGTATCATGCAATTATATATTAATATTCATAGTATAAAATAAACTGTAGACATAATTAAAGTGTTTATTCTAAATTTCAAGCTAAAATATGCAAGTTATAAAATAGGATTCAATCATATTCACCACTGACTTACTCTTCTGTTTTTTCTGTCAGTACATTAGATTGTATTTTTCTCATATCCCCAGAAACTTGCCTAAAGAGTTCCTACAATTTGCCCAACCAACCTTCTTGATAATGGAGGGGGGGGGTGTATGTGCCACCTCCCAATGCCCCCCCCCCTAGAAAATCTAGCCCTGACTGTAATAAAGGTGAATTACTTATTTGAATTGCAAAAAACAAAACTTTGTACTAATGGTAATTACTTAACTATGAGTTTATAACCTGTTGGCTTGTCAGGAGGGAACAATTATTTCATTAACGGCACAATTAACACCTGTTGAACTATATACTTTAACACGGTTTTAATGCATTTTAACAAATTAACTGATATATTTGACATATTGTGCCTTTATTATAACTCATCTCCATCATTTATTATATATATATATATAATTAAATATATATATATATATACATATATACATACATGTATATGTATATATATATATGTATATGTATATGTATATGTATACGTATACGTATATGTATACGTATACGTATACGTATACCTATACGTATACCTATACGTATATGTATATATACATATACCTATACGTATATGTATATGTATATGTATATGTATATGTATATGTATATGTATATGTATATGTATATGTATATGTATATGTATATGTATATGTATATGTATATGTATATGTATATGTATATGTATATGTATATATATATATATATATATATATATATATATATATATATATATATATATATATATATATATATATATATATATATATGTATATATATATATATATATATGTGTGTGTGTGTGTGTGCGTGTGCAAACTTTGCTCAAACTTAAACAACCAGTACCAGTACCCACAACCCAATTTAATGCCATCAACCATTGTTGTTATCATGCATTGAAAATCATTATTAGGAGGCAGATACTTGGCTATTGCAGTGATTGCCTTATTATTACAGTTACGTGCGCACTTTGTTATGGACCAGAGTAAACACGCAAACTACCCGACAAAACACACGCGTGTTGATGCATACCAATTAGTCACGTGATACATATAATGGTATATACGATGGACAACCTTTTCAGCAGTGACTGTATATAGTTGGATAAGGTTGCCCTATTCTTGGAACCTGGTCGCCACCCCTAGTGGCGACTGTGGCAGGCCTAGTGACTGGCACAGCTCCAGATCTCTCCGTTTATTGCGTTGTTGCTTGTATCAGGCGGTGAAATTGCTTGAGAAAGTTCTCCAATCCTGTTTACAAGTTGCCTAATTATATCTGAATCTGAAGACAACGCCATGTTTGATGTTAAACTTTCGAACTACTTACTACTTGAAGTAACTTGAAGTATGGAGCCTAGTATTCGGTGTTACCGCTGACCACATGTACAGTCACACTTCTCGTCTTATGTTTACCGTTTGCAAAACTCGCTTTACGCCTCGACTGTTTTCGGATTATGATTATCCTTCTCGACTAATGATATGTTTCTCGCCTGCTGATCGCTTTCTTGACAGTCGATTTGTTTTTCGACACTTTATTTTTTTAACTCGTAAGTCAATTTATTTGTCTGAACCGTCGATATATTACCCTGGTCCATCGAATTATGGAACTAGACTATTGATTTATATTTCTCGAATAGTGAATTGAAACTCGATACACTTTTGTCAGATTTTACTCAGACGGTCGAGATTTTAATCGCAGGGTCGAGATTTTAATCGCAGGGTCGAGATTTTTCTCGGACGGTCGAGAATTTTTTTCACGGTCGAGTTGGTCGAGATTTTTCTTTGTGTCTTCTGCTGATTTTGTTTCATTCATGTTATATAAGTTTATACTTGAAAGTTGGTTTAATAATTAGTGCAGTCACATTTTAATACTCTTCGACTACGTTTAGTAATGAAAGTATCAGTTACTTTGTTGGTGTATTATTCTTTCCTTGGTATTTTGTATTGCTCAAATTATGCACAGGCAAATGATGAAGACTTGGAAAATCAGTAATAAATGACAACTTCTTGAAAATAGTCATCAATTATTAAAGTACTACAGTGTTATTGTAAAGCATGATTCATTTCTTTATAATTATTTTACCATTTGGATGATGATTTTGCTCCAGTAATTGCGTTGAAATGACATTTGAGTTTACTATAAATTTTATATAAAATCCAAATTAATTTATTTGGGATAAACTTATATGACTTTAGAGTGGACCTCACATTAAGGGATTGAAATGTACAGCACTTGGCCATTTATATGTTATCAAGCGATCAGTGCCATCATAATTAATATAATTTATACAGACAGCTATGTTTATACACAGTGATTTAATATGATATGGGTGTATTAACATTGATAATATCGAGTGATACTCACTGTATCTGACACTTTCTTCCTTCAAAATTTGTATAGACGGTCTCACATATACAGGTTTATTATCCCTGAAAATGCGACACATCAGCAAGCCATTTAAATTTTGGCCTGATGCGAGAGTTGGTGCAACAAGTGTGGTATGCACCGAATGTAGAATTTCGAAATCAACCCCAGTGGGTATTTTATCTTTGAGAGCTTCAGCAATTTGCAGTATAACTTCAATGTCACTCCATTCTTTTATTAATTGAAATGCAATGATAATATGCCCGTTTTCCTGCAGAAATAGTTTTGTTCCTTGATGTGGGACATTTTTATCGTCTGGTCCAGAGAGAAGAATCAAGTCACGTGTAAATGGGCCAGTCGCGTGTAAATGGGCCCTCTACGCCCCGCCCTTGGAGGACGGTGTGAAGTCGCATGTGGTGTTGAACTTGAGCGAAAAGATCGCCTGTTTGTAATGGCCCTTCTTTGATTATTGAAATATCTTCTCACATTGTATAAAGGCGTCGTTGTATTTCTGGAACTATTAAACAGTGGGAGGAGGGGTGA